CTTTTGTGGGTACACCCTTTCAGGGAATGGTATCGCAGCTGACCCGGAAAAGGTCCGCGCCATCACGGATTTTCCCACCCCTGCTAACCTGACCGACTTGAGGTCCTTCATCGGTCTCGTCAACCAGTTAGCAGAGTTTTCGTCGGACATCTCCGCAGCTGCTCAACCACTTCGCCCCCTGATGAGCCCCAAGAGGACATTCCTGTGGACCCCCGACCACGACAAGGCCTTCCAGCAAGTGAAACAGGCCCTGTCTCGTCCACCTGTCCTCGCCACGTTTGACCCAGCCTTGCCGACAGTTCTGCAGACAGATGCCTCACGCTTGTATGGCGTGGGATACGCCCTACTGCAGGATCATGGTGGAGGGCAGTTCCGGCTCGTCCAGTGTGGCTCGCGTTTCCTCTCTGACACTGAGACGCGCTACGCCACTATTGAGTTGGAGCTGTTGGCTGTGGTTTGGGCGATGTCCAAGTGCAGGTTTTACCTCATAGGCCTGCAACACTTTCACCTAGTGACCGACCATCGCCCGCTTGTCCCGATCCTCAACCACTACACGCTGGACGCCGTTGAGAACCCTCGCCTCCAGCGTCTGAAAGAGAAGCTCTCGGCGTACATCTTCACAGCAGTGTGGCGTGCTGGTAAGGAGCTCTGCATCCCTGATGCCTTATCCCGCTCTCCTGTCAGCCGCCCTACTCCAGAAGACCATGTGCTCGACGCCGACCTCGCTCTTTCCGTCAGGACTGTGGTCACTCTCCATGCCGTCCAATCCCTTCGTTCGGACCTGTCACCAGATGACGACAAGGCAATGGAGGACCTTCGAACAGCGGCCCGAGATGACCCTTCCTACGTCCGACTTGTCGAGTGTGTGAGGAATGGATTTCCTAGCAACCGCTACGATCTTCACAACACCCTGCTCCCGTATTGGAAACTCCGCGATGAACTCTACTGCGACGGAGACCTTGTTCTGTACGGAGCACGTGTAGTTGTCCCTGCTGCATCACGTCCCCACGTCTTGGCTCGCCTTCACGACAGTCACCGTGGAGCTGAGGCCACCAAACGACGTGCACGACAGACTGTGTTCTGGCCCGGCATCAACTCCGACATCTCCAATGTTGTCCGTGCGTGTGAGCCCTGCCAAGTATTACAACCCAGCCAGCAGCAGGAACCCTTCATGAGTGACGACAACCCCACCCGCCCCTTTGAGTCTGTGTCGGCCGACTTTTTCTGTGTGTCAGGAAAGTCCTTCCTTGTTATCGTCGACCGTCTCTCTGGTTGGCCGGTTGTCATCAAGTGCGGTAATGACACGACGTCTGCCGCCACCATCAGCAAGTTCCGCCACTACTTCCGTGACGTGGGCGTTCCTGTACGCCTGCGAACCGACGGAGGGCCTCAGTTCACAAGCCGGGACTTTGCTGTGTTCCTTGACCGATGGGGAGTCCGGCATGTGTTGTCATCGCCCCATTACCCGCAGTCCAACGGCCACGCTGAGGCTGCTGTCAAATCCCTGAAGCACCTCATCCTTAAGGTGGCCCCTTCTGGGAACATTGACTGCGAGGCCTTCGACCGGGGTCTTCTTGAACTCCGCAACACACCTAACTACACCGGACGCTCCCCTGCCCAGGTTTTGTATGGACGCCCCCTTCGTTCTTGTGTCCCTGCTTACCCTCAATCCTTCTCCAAGGAGTGGCAGGCCAAGACAGAGGATTGTGATCGCCGAGCCGCCGAACGTGTTCAGGACGTCGTCGCCCGCTACAACGACCACGCCCGTTCTCTCCCCAGGTTGAGTGTCGGCACCCGAGTCCGTGTTCAGGACCCGACCTCCCTACGTTGGGACAAAGTAGGCGTAGTCATGGGTCTCGGTAGGTCACGGGACTACCAGGTGCGGTTACCCAGTGGTCGTGTGTGGTGGACGAACCGCCGTTTTCTCTGCCCCGTAACAATGCCTTCTGCTGACCTCGCCACCAGTGTTGAGTCCCATACCCTTCCCAGTGATGAAGTCCCTCGATGCTCAGAACGGATCCGAAAGAAAAGGTCCGCTCAAGACTTTGCTATGAGTGTATAGGGGGGAGGGAGGTGTATGTATATTATGTATGCTGGATTATATATTATGTATGTATATTATGTATGTGCTCCATTTATGTATTATTTATTCAGCCTAGCTAGCAGCGTGTGGCAATGTAATTACCATATCCCACATGCTTAATTTATGTGCCTGGCGACGTATGGAAGCTGCTAATGTATCACTTGCCATACGTCGTCTATAGCAGTTGACAGGCAGCCAGGTTGAGGAGAGCACTACTTCCCTCTGTGTACATATCTCTTATCCAGTAAATCGAACCTACAAAATCTATACAGGTGTTTGTGTTCTCTCCTGTATATTGAACTTATTATCCAGAACCTAACAATCTACACCACCATCTACACCACCATCTACACCATTATCTACACCATCACCTACACCACCATACACACCACCACCTACACCACCTCCACCACCATCTACACCACCACCTACACCATCACCTACACCTACCGTCTACACCACCACCTACAACACCACCTCTACCACCACCTATGCCACCTGCAACATCATCTACACCATTATCTACACCATCACCTACACCACCACATACACCACCGCTTACACCACCTACACCATCACCTACACCACCACACCACTTACACCACCTACACCACCACCTACACCACCACCTGCACCTACACCATCACCTACATCACAATCTACACCACCACCTGCACCACCACCTACACCACCATCTACACCACCTGCCACCACCTACACCACCACCTACACCACCACTAAACCATCTACCCCACCACCTACACCACCATACACACCACCACCTACACGACCATACACACCACCACCTACACAGCCTCCACCATCATCTACACCACCACCTAGACCACCACCTACGTCACCTACACCATCACGTGCACCACAGTCTACACCATTATCTACACCACCACCTACGCCACCTACATCATATACACCACCACTTACACCACCATACACACCTACGCCATCACCTACACCACCATCTACCACCACCTACACCACCACCTACCACCACCTACACCACCATCTGCCATCACCTCACCACCATCTCACCATCACCTACACCACCACCTACACCACCTACACCACCACCTACGCCATCACCCACACCACTACACCATCACCTACACCACCATCTACACCATCAGCTACACCACCACCTACACACACTACGCCATCACCTACACCACCATCTACACCATCACCTACACCACCATCTACACCATCACCTACACCACCACCTACACCACCACCCTGTCACCTACACCACCACCTACACCACCACCTACACCATCACCTACACCACCATCTACACCACCACCTACCATCACCTACACCACCATCTACACCACCACCTACCACCACCCTACACCTCCACACCACCACCTACACCACCACCTACGCCATCACCTACACCACCACCTACGCCATCACCTACACCACCACCTACACTACCTACACTTCGCCTACACCACCACCTACACCACCATCTACACCATCACCTACCACTACTTACACCACCACCTACACCACCACCTACACCACCTACCCACCACCTACACCACCTACACTAGCTACACACACCACCTACACCACCACCTACACCAGCTACACCACCACCTACACCACCACCCCCACCCACACACACACATATACAGAATATAATTAGGAGGTTGAGAGGGACGAGGGAGAAGATGTGAGAGGGAGGGATGGAAGTGAGAGGGAGGGATGGAAGTGAGGGAGGGAAGGATGTGAGAGGGAGGGAATGAAGAGAGGGAGGGAAGGAAATGAGAGAGAGGGAAGGAAGTGAGAGGGAGGGATGGAAGTGAGAGGGAGGAAGGAAGTGAGAGGGAGGAAGGAAGGGAGAGGGAGGGAAGGAAGGAGAGGGAGGGATGGAAGTAGAGGAGGGAGGAAGAGAGGGAGGGAAGGAAGTGAGAGGGAGGGATGGAAGTGAGAGGGAGGGATGAAGTGAGAGGGAGGAAGGAAATGAGAGAGAGGGAAGGAAGTGAGAGGGAGGGAAGGAAGGAGAGGGGAGGGAAGGAAGTGAGAGGGAGGGAAGGAAGAGAGGGAGGGATGAAGGAGAGGGAGGAAGGAAGTGAGAGGGAGGGAAGGAAGTGAGAGGGAGGGATGGAAGGAGAGGGAGGAAGGAAGTGAGAGGGAGGGATGGAAGTGAGAGGGAGGGAAGGAAGGAGAGTGGGAGGGAAGGAAGTGAGAGGGAGGAAGGAAGTGAGAGGGAGGGAAGGAAGTGAGAGGGAGGGAAGGAAGTGAGAGGGAGGGATGGAAGGAGAGGGAGGGAAGGGAAGTGAGAGGGAGGGAAGGGAAGTGAGAGGGAGGGATGGAAGGAGAGGGAGGGAAGGAAGTGAGAGGGAGGGATGGAAGTGAGAGGGAGGGAAGGAAGTGAGAGGGAGGGAAGGAAGTGAGAGGGAGGGAAGGAAGTGAGAGGGAGGGATGGAAGTGAGAGGGAGGGAAGGAAGGAGAGGGAGGGAAGGAAGTGAGAGGAGGGAAGGAAGTGAGAGGGAGGGATGGAAGTGAGAGGGAGGGAAGGAAGTGAGAGGGAGGATGGAAGTGAGAGGAGGGAGGAAGGAAGTGAGAGGGAGGGAAGGAAGTGAGAGGGAGGGAAGGAAGTGAGAGGGAGGGATGGAAGTGAGAGGGAGGGAAGGAAGTGAGAGGGAGGGAAGGAAGTGAGAGGGAGGGATGGAAGTGAGAGGGAGGGAAGGAAGTGAGAGGGAGGGAAGAAATTGAGATTGGGGGAAGGAAGTGGGAGCGAGGGAAGGAAGTGAAAGTGAGGGAAGGAAGTGAGATTGAGGGAAGGAAGTGGGAGTGAGGGAAGGAAGTGAAAGTGATTGAAGGAAGTGAGACTCAGGGAAGGAAGTGAGAGGGTGGGAAGGAAGTAAGAGTGGGGGAAGGACACACTACTCACCAGCGGTATTGGGTCAGCTGCAGCAGCAACACAGCATCAACAACAGCTGGCAGCAGGTCACCACCAACCAGCTGCTCGTGACTTCTGCACTTCTCGCGGTGTGGACAGCGGCTGACTCTTCCCCTGCAGAGGTGAACCATTAACTAGACCATCACCTACACCAGTGATGTATCTTACAGTAATACAGTGATGTATCTTACAGTAATACAGTGATGTATCTTACAGTAATACAGTGGTGTTTCTTACAGTAATGCAGTGGTGTATCTTGCAGTAATACAGTGGTGTATCTTACAATAATACAGTAGTGTATCTTACAGCAATACAGTGGTGTATCCTACAATAATACAGTAGTGTATCTTACAGTAATACAGTGATGTATCTTGCAGTGATACAGTGATGTATCTTGCAGTAATACAGTGATGTATCTTACAGTAGTACAGTGATCTATCTTACAGCAATACAGTGGTGTATCCTACAATAATACAGTAGTGTATCTTACAGTAATACAGTGGTGTATCTTACAGTAATACAGTGGTGTATCTAACAGTAATACAGTGATGTATCTTGCAGTTATACAGTGATGTATCTTACAGTAATACAGTGATGTATCTTACAGTAGTACAGTGATCTATCTTACAGTAATACAGTGGTGTATCTTACAGTAATACAGTGATGTATCTTACAGTAATACAGTGATATATCTTATAGGAATACAGTTATGTATCTTACAGTAATACAGTAATGTATCTTAAAGTAATACAGTGGTTTATCTTAGAGTAATTCAGTGATGTATCTTACAGTAATACAGTGGTGTATCTTACAATAATACAGTAGTGTATCTTACAGTAATACAGTGATTTGTCTTACAGTAATATAGTGATGTATCATACAGTTATACAGTGATGTATCTTACAGTAATACAGTGGTGTATCTTACAGTAATACAGTGATGTATCTTACAGTAATACAGTGGTGTATCTTACAGTAATACAGTGATGAATCTTACAGTAATACAGTAGTGTATCATACAGTAATACAGTGGTGTATCTTACAGTAATACAGTGATGTATCTTACAGTAATACAGTGATGTATCTTACAGTAATACAGTGGTGTATCTTACAGTAATACAGTGGTGTATCTTACAGTAATACAGTGATGTATCTTACAGTAATACAGTGGTGTATCTTACAGTAATACAGTGGTGTATCTTACAGTAATACAGTTTTGTATCTTACAGTAATACAGTGGTGTATCTTACAGTAATACAGTGATGTATCTTACAGTAATACAGTGATGTATCTTACAGTAATACAGATTGTATCTTACAGTAATACAGTGATGTATCTTACATTAATACAGTGATGTATGTGACAGTTTTACAGTGGTGTATCTTACAGTAATACAGTGATGTATCTTACAGTAATACAGTGGTGTATCTTACAGTAATACAGTGATGTATCTTAGAGTAATACAGTGATGTATCTTACATTAATACAGTGATGTATGTGACAGTTTTACAGTGGTGTATCTTACAGTAATACAGTGATGTATCTTACAGTAATACAGTGGTGTATCTTACAGTAATACAGTGGTGCATCTTACTGTAATACAGTGATGTATCTTACAGTAATACAGTGATGTATCTTACAGTAATACAGTGATGTATCTTACAGTAATACAGTGGTGCATCTTACTGTAATACAGTGATGTATCTTACAGTAATACAGTGATGTATCTTACAGTAATACAGTGGTGCATCTTACTGTAATACAGTGATGTATCTTACAGTAATACAGTGATGTATCTTACAGTAATACAGTGGTGTATCTTACAGTAATACAGTGGTGCATCTTACTGTAATACAGTGATGTATCTTACAGTAATAAAGTGATGTATCTTACAGTAATACAGTGGTGTATCTTACAGTAATACAGTGGTGCATCTTACTGTAATACAGTGATGTATCTTACAGTAATACAGTGATGTATCTTACAGTAATACAGTGATGTATCTTACAGTAATACAGTGGTGTATCTTACAGTAATACAGTGGTGCATCTTACTGTAATACAGTGATGTATCTTACAGTAATACAGTGATGTATCTTACAGTAATACAGTGGTGTATCTTACAGTAATACAGTGGTGCATCTTACTGTAATACAGTGATGTATCTTACAGTAATAAAGTGATGTATCTTACAGTAATACAGTGGTGTATCTTACAGTAATACAGTGGTGCATCTTACTGTAATACAGTGATGTATCTTACAGTAATACAGTGATGTATCTTACAGTAATACAGTGATGTATCTTACAGTAATACAGTGATGTATCTTACAGTAATACAGTCTTGAATGGCTTGTTTATGTGGGTACAATAATTAACACTGGTTCATCTGGATGTGTTCAGCAATATAGTGATAGTCTTCAACTTACATTGGTACCGTTTACAATGAGTGCGTTACAGGTGTACAGATTACGCAATGACCTAATGACTTATAATTAGTGACTCACAGTCCTGTCAGCAAATAGAAAAGTATAGTGTTTTTTTTTCTCATCTGTTGTTCACAGTTATATTTCCCGCCTCTGCTGACGGCTGTTCCCTCGAGCGGCTAAGTCTGTCACACTCAACCACCAATTTTCAGAGGAGGTGTAATATTTTAGTGTGATTCTGATGTTTTAAAATGTTGTTTTTGCATAATGTAGTCTTACTGATACGTAATTTGTCTTCGTATGTCTTATTTTAGGTAAAAATAAGTATATATTAATTTCTTCCTCCGAAAGCGTTAATTTGTTACCGGGGTTTAACAGTTAATTCATGTATAAGATTTCTGATAACTTCCTACGTGCTCCTGTTTGAAATAATGAATGTATGTATCTTTAAATAATTCAGCTAGATATCTTTCTCGTCAGAAACGGTCATCCCAACGATTATAAATAAACTCATTTGCAAATACATCATTACTTCAGGACGAAATCGAACAGATTTGCAACAGCCAATCAGCTCTAACTCTTTATGGGGGTTGGGGGGTGCATCTTTTCTCAGCTGAGAAGAAACGCACTATAATTGACTCACTAATTGTGAGAGAGAGCTTCAGTGACTCGGTATCAATGACTAAGTGACTCATTATGTGACTCAGCGACGAAATTACACTGACTCGGAGACATAATGTAGTGTTGCTGAAACAAAATGACTCGACGACTCAAAATGACAGAACATCAGTGACTGTACATCAATGAATAAGTAACTAACTATCAATAAATGAATGAGTCAGCGATTAGTGACTCAGAGACTTAACGTTAAACAATCAAATCACTCAACACTGACTCATCGACTCACCATTGACGACGTGAACGAGGACAGAAGCGGCGTCAGCGAACTGCGGGGCACAAGTGTAGTTGCCGGAGTCATCCTTCATCGCCCTCGTCAGGAACAATTTGGAGGTGGTCCTTGTGGGGGTCTTCTCTATCTCTATGCTGACGCCGCCCCTGGAGAGGTCAGGTCAAGTCAGAAGAGGTGAGCAGAGGTTAGGTGAGGTCACGAGAGGTCAGGAGAGGCGAGAAGAAGTGACCAAAGGTGAGGACAGGTGATAGACGATAAGGGAGAGAGAGAGAGAGAGAGAGAGAGAGAGAGAGAGAGAGAGAGAGAGAGAGAGAACTATACTGTATATATACGCAATAATCAGGGTTATATACATACATATATATACTCGGGTGCCAGTCAAAATATATTACCCACAATAAACCAGAACTTGACGCAAACATCACCAGTCTCTCAACCCACAGGTCAGTCTGGTCTGGAACACCCTCACAGTGCTGGCAGAGTTTACTTTGTGAGTTGATAGTAAGTGTTATCGCTGCTGGCTTCAGCTACAGTGCTGGCGTGTGATGCCATTAAATCTTTCTACCTATGACCTCGCCAGATGTAGAAGTGTTTACAGACAAGTCCTGGTTCTGCTGAGTGGACTGTCTTCGGCGGGTGGCGGTGGCTGCCCGCCCCGCCATGATGCAGATCGCCCTCTCTAGTGAACACCGAATCACAATCCTGTCCAAGTTTTTGTGCTGAGACAATTTAAACAGTACTGTTGTCTCTCGGAACACCATACTGATCTGCATTGACCCGCACTTGTAAGTACAGCCTAAGTGATGACATACCCCTCGGTACTGAAATATTGTGGACTAATTACGTCTACTCGTTTCTGCCTAACCTGGAGTAATAAGACAATGCAGAATGAAGTGAAGCTAAGATTAATAGAGTTATGAACTTTGTGTTATGTCAGTATGTTTAATGTATGTATATTCTGTATGCTGTATTTATATTATGCTATGTATATTATGTATGTGCTCCATTTATGTATTATTTATTTAGCCTAGCTAGTAGCGTGTGGCAATGTATTTATCAATGTCCCACATGCTTAATTAATGTGCCTGGCGACGTATGGAAGCTGTTAATGTCTCACTTGCCATACGTCGTCTATACAGCAGTTGACAAGCAGACAGGTTGGAGAGCACTACTCCCTCTGTGTACATATCTCTTATCCAGTAAATCGAACCTACAAAATCTATACAGGTGTTTGTGTTCTCTCCTGTATATTGAACTTATTACCCAGAACATGAACATGGCGCAGTGTGTACTTTTACTGAATAATTACGAGTGACAGTGCAAAGTTTGTGGAAAGCCGGCTTATGGACCCCTTGCCCTGTGTCAACCGCCACCCCTCCTCGAAGAATTTAGCAACTTTGAGCATGGTCAGTGACAGTGATTTTCTGTGAAGTGTTTAGTGCATTGTGTGTTTCGTGCCATTCATGTGTGACCTTGTTCTAAAGGATTCCCAAGGTACACGGCATGTTCTGGGCATTTGTAAGGAGTAGACTTCAGTACACCTCCCCTCGCGAAGCCTGGAGGGTAACTGCCGCTAGTCGTCTTCTCCACCCCCCTCACAGCTCGAGAAGACTGCTCCCACCCAGACGCGCGCACACACACATACATGTACTAACACTCACTGACCGCGGCGGCTCCCTTATATATATTTTATATATATAATCTACTTATCTGTGTATTTAATTAAATTTTTGTCTGAGATCTTGTTGATACGACGGGCTGACCGGTCAACACTGATTTAGACACAGTACACAGATGAAGTAGTTATGTCTCGTGCCTTACGTAGCCGTGGAACCAGTGTCCGGATGAGTCAGTCGGATGATAGCCCCGCAGAGATGGATGACCAGGCTGACCATGACGCTCCAGCTCCCACAACATCGCGCAGCCCATCACCTCCATATTCAGCGTTGTCTCCAGAGATAATTGCTTTAATGAAGTTTATGAGAGATGAAAGGCGCGAGGATGAAGCTAACAGACGTGTGGCGGATGAACACAGAAGGCAAGCAGAGGCAGAGAGAGACCACCAACGGAGATTGGAAGACAGTGCACGGTTTGAAGCTTTGATATCTCGCCTCACTGTTAACCAAGCCCCTGGCTCTAACACTGCCTCGGTACTGACTGGTTCAGATACCTCATCAATGCTTCCTTCACGCCCCCCAGCTCCACCTAAAGCAGCTGCTCAAACACCGCCCATCTTGAAGCCTGATGTGACTTTCCAGACTTTTCGTGAATGGCGGCGACGGTGGACTGATTATTCTACGATGGTGGATCTCCAGAGTTTGTCACAGCCTAAACAACTCATTCAGCTGCGTATGTGCCTGTCCTTGGAAATTCAGCGTGTCTTAGAACATACGTTGCAGGTACTCCCAACCTCTTCGCTGTCTGTAGAGGAGGTACTGGACATTCTACAACGGCACATCAAAGGACAGCAGAATGAAGCTCTGCGCAGGAGGGAATTGTTTAGCTGCAGACAGATGGAGGGTGAGTCTTTTGACGCCTTTTATGTACGTCTTAAGAGAGCCTCGGAAGAGGTAGATATATGTCTAGGCCACCACCAGCAGTGCGAGGAGACCCAGTTGAAGCAGGTGATCCTGATGGGTGTTAAGGACGAGGAACTTGTCCAACGCCTCACCTCCCTCGACTCTTCCTCTTCTCTCAACGATGTGTTGACGATATGTCGCTCCTATGAGGCTGCCAGGTGTGCCACCTCTGCCATCCGAGCTCCCCCTACAGCTGTACGCGCTGTGTCCCGGTACAAGAAGGACAAGAAGTCTGCTCCTACGCCTTCGCCCACCACGTCCACGCCCGGTTCATTTTGTAACAACTGTGGTAAGCAGCACGGAACACAGGTGTGTCCAGCTGCTGAGTCTACCTGCAACAGTTGTGACCGTAAGGGCCACTGGTCACTCACAGTACGGTGCCCAGCCAAGTACGTCCAGTGCAATGTGTGCGGTCGTCTGGGCCACTATGACAAGTGTTGCCCTTCCAACAAACCCAAGGGACAGCGTCGGCGGAAGCTTCAGCTCCCTTCCACCAGAGAGGGCCGCCCACAGTCTTCCAATCAGAAGCATGACGACCCTGGACAACGCTCGAGCCATATTAGGAATGTGTGCACCCCCCCCGCTTCCCAGGACCAAAGTCCCCCAGTACATCAGTGTCATTGTGACCTACTGCAGTGTGTCATCCCGTCTTCAGATGTTGCCCGACACCGGCGCTGATGCTACAGTCATCGGTCCCCAGCATTTGCAATGCTTGGGGCTCTCTCCAAGGGATCTTGGACCGCCCCCCAAGGATCTCCGCTTTATGGCAGATGGTTCACAGATGACCCCGGCCCTGGGTACACTCCAAGCACAAGTCACCTTTGGCAACAGGTCGTGTCAAGCCTGGATTGATGTGCATACCGGTGTCCCGACTCCTTTGCTGTCCTACAGACATTGTCAAGAGTTGGCCATCATCTCCCAGGACTTCCCCAAACCTATTCTTGAGGTAAAACACGCCAACAGGGTGCAAAAAGGGAGCAGCAACGACCCTGCTGCCGCCCTACCCCTGCCTCTTGCCAGTGACACCTCTCCTTCGGATGCTTAGAAATACTTCCTGAAGGAATTCAGCGACGTTCTGGTGACCAAGTCCGCTCTGGAATCCAAGCCTCTCAAGAAGATGGCAGGTCCCCCCATGAGGATCCACCTGAGGGACGACGCGAAGCCCTTCGCTATTTACACCCCTCGACTGGTTCCCCTGGCCTTCCGTGATGCGGTCAAAAACGAGCTGGACTCCATGGTCGCCCAAGAAATTATTGCACCAACCGGCGATGACCCGTCTCCATGGTGTCACCCTATGGTTGTCGTCGCGAAACCTAAAGGTGGTGTTCGGATCACCACTGACCTCTCCAAGCTCAACAGCCAGGTGTCTCGTCCTGCGCACCCTTCTCCCACGCCCTTTGCAGCTATACGCAGTGTGAACCCGAAGGCGCGCTTCTTCACGACGATGGACGCCCTGTGGGGATACTGGCAGATAGAGCTTGCCGAAGAAGACCGACCACTCACAACTTTCATCACCCCGCATGGACGTTACAGTTATTGCCGTGACCCCATGGGATTCGCCGCTACAGGAGACGCTTTCTGTCTTCGAGGTGATATGGCGCTACAAGGTCTGGCAAACTGCGTGAAAGTGGTCGACGACATACTCGTGTACGACGAGGATTATATGGATCACCTCTGCCGTATCTACGAGGTACTCAACAGGTGCCGGAAGCACTGCATTACCCTAAATGCCGACAAGTTTGTTCTGGCCAGCTCTTCAGTTGACTTTTGTGGGTACACCCTCTCAGGGAATGGTATCGCAGCTGACCCGGAAAAGGTCCGCGCCATCACGGATTTTCCCAACCCTGCTAACCTCACCGACTTGAGGTCCTTCATCGGTCTCGTCAACCAGTTAGCAGAGTTTTCGTCGGACATCTCCGCAGCTGCTCAACCACTTCGCCCCCTGATGAGCCCCAAGAGAACATTCCTGTGGACCCCCGACCACGACAAGGCCTTCCAGCAAGTGAAACAGGCCCTGTCTCGTCCACCTGTCCTCGCCACGTTTAACCCAGCCTTGCCGACAGTTCTGCAGACAGATGCCTCACGCTTGTATGGCGTGGGATACGCCCTACTGCAGGATCATGGTGGAGGGCAGTTCCGGCTCGTCCAGTGTGGCTCGCGTTTCCTCTCTGACACTGAGACGCGCTACGCCACTATTGAGTTGGAGCTGTTGGCTGTGGTTTGGGCGATGTCCAAGTGCAGGTTTTACCTCATAGGCCTGCAACACTTTCACCTATTGACCGACCATCGCCCGCTTGTCCCGATCCTCAACCACTACACGCTGGACGCCGTTGAGAACCCTCGCCTCCAGCGTCTGAAAGAGAAGCTCTCGGCGTACATCTTCACAGCAGTGTGGCGTGCTGGTAAGGAGCTCTGCATCCCTGATGCCTTATCCCGCTCTCCTGTCAGCCGCCCTACTCCAGAAGACCATGTGCTCGACGCCGACCTCGCTCTTTCCGTCAGGACTGTGGTCACTCTCCATGCCGTCCAATCCCTTCGTTCGGACCTGTCACCAGATGGCGACAAGGCAATGGAGGACCTTCGAACAGCGGCCCGAGATGACCCTTCCTACGTCTGACTTGTCGAGT